ATTGGAATAATATTGATAAATGTTTTTTGTATAGCCACAGTGTCTGTTAATGCAAAGTTTTTTTTGTTTTACATGATTCAATTTTATTTCTATTTCTCTTATGGTTAGTATAAATAAATGATGGCGTAAAATATTTGTATTTCCTGGGGAATTTTTTTAGTTCTTTTCTTTTTATCTCATCCAAAATATTTTGTGTTTTCGCTTGCTTCTTTCTCTTAAGTTGGGCATTATGTTGTATTAAATAACCTCTAATAAAGGCTTTGCTTGCATCCCAAACCATTCTCATGTCAGTATCCATAAATTCATTTCAAAACATTCTTTTAATTTCTTTTTGCAGTCTTCAACAATTGCTTCATTTTGTAACAGTACTTTGTTTAATCTCCAACTAAAAGTGCTGGATTTTCTTTTACAAACCATAGACACAGGGTTATGATCTGGAAAAGTCTTTGGTAAAATCTCTACTTTAGAGATCTTGGTTGCTAAATCTCTTGATGTCAAAATCATGTGTATTTTTTAAAAAGATCTATGTATTTCTGAAAAATATATATATTCTCTTGAATTACCTTTTTCTTGTCTCCATAAATCAACCAGCCCCAATTTGTCCATCCAATCAAAGGAAATTTTTGGTAGTTTACCCAGAAGCATTTTAATATTTTTTTCAGAGGTCTTATTTGTGGGGAAATCACTCCATTCCAGTCCCCCATCAGACACCAGCTTTCATATGGTAAATCTATTAAAGTGTCCATGAGTATTTTATAAAACACTGTTTTATCTTCATTTGGGGCACAGAGTCCCACCACCAAAGTTTTAGCCCCCTGTAATTTAACATCTGCACCCACAAATCTGCCATGATCATCACTCAATAACAATTCCAGTTTTATATAAGATTTAGTATACAAAGCAACTCCATTTTTCTTTTTAATGTCTGCTGAAATAAATTATTCATCCAAAACTTTATAAACAAAATATTTTATATCTTTTTTTTTGATACAGATCTTTTGTAGACAAATAATATCCTGGTTTAACTGGTTTTTCTCTTTTGAGGGGCATTTGTTCCATTGATATTCCATGTTAAGCACTTGTAATCCATATTCTGGTCAAAAGTTTTTTAAAAATTAAAATTTAGTTAGTACATGTGGCACCTAATTCAGTGTTATCCTTTCCCAGTTCCTGTTGGTGTTCTTGTGTGGGTTCCGTTGGACTTTACATTTGCATCTCCTCCAGATCTCTTTTAACTCTTTCTTAAAAAATGTTTCGCCATTTGAACTCACGAGGAGCAGCTGTCGAGAGTTACAAGTGGGTAATCTCATGAACTCCCTTTGGTCTAGGAAGATTTTGCCAGCTAGAATCTCCCTCTCTGCTGGTGTTCCTGGCTGTGATGTTTCTCCGGTTCTTCAGAGACTTCAGCCTGCCATGATTCCTCACCAGAAGCCCGTTTTGCTAAAATTTGGTTTAATGATTTGACAGTCTGTCACCTTGAGGACCTTGAACTGGGTAGGAAAACAGCATACTTTTTAAATAAATAAATATAGCCATGAAGACTAAAGGGAACTGTCCCATAAAGATGCAGTAAATCTCAGTAAATGATGGAAAACATGAAAGAGACGGCGATTAAACCTTGTATGAGGGTATGGGAACAAAATATAGGTCACACAATAAAAACCGAGGAGTGGGAAAAAATGTGGAAATCAATGAAAATAGTAAGAGCTACGTCATACAAAGAAAACATACCAAAAATTTTTTACAGGTGGCATTGGACACCAGATAAACTTGCCAAATGTTATAAGAATGTCTCAGATACATGCTGGAGATGCAAAAATAACATAGGAACTTTTTACCATGTCTGGTGGAGGTGTGAAAAAATAGTCAAGTTTTGGAAAAAGGTCAAAGAACTGATAAAAGAGATTACAGATATAGAACTCCAATTTATCCCAGAAAGTTATCTGCTTAACATGATTCCAGATAGAATAAATAGAGAAGACTTATGTATCATTCTATATATTCTCGCAGTAAGCAGAATCCTCATAGCTAAAAAGTGGAAATCGGATGTAATACCAAGAAAAGAATTAATGAAAAAAATCCTAGAAATAGCGGAAATGGACAGATTAAATCTGATATTAGCAGGGAGAGATGATAACGTTTTTAAGAAAAGGTGGTTTAAAGTAAATATATGGATGGAAAAAAATGTATAATATACACTCCAAAAATGTTATGTATAAAGAAAATTTACATCTTTTTTGTAATGGAAAATATATAAATAAACTTTACAAAAAAAAGAGAGAGAACATCAGGGCAGTGGAAATCTATTCTGACAATATGCCATCTAAGTTAATTTTTAACTGCCGCCAGCACTTTATGTTTGTATTGGTTTTACTTATGGTGTTTTAAATTATTGTATGATTTTAATTTGTATTTATGTTGTATGGAAGCCACCCTGAGCCTGCTTTGCGGGGAGGGCGAGGTATAAATTTGATAATAAATAAATAAAATAAATAAATAAAACTGGGGAAAAAAATGCAGTAAATCTCTAAATGCCATTGCCAGGAGGCAGCTTCAAGGGATGTTTGGAAGTGTGGTCCAGCCATTGGGAAAAAAGCAAGCTTTGAGAAGGAGGAGGGGGTGGGTTTCTAGCACTAAACCTCTGTCTCTCCTCATGCAACAGCACAGATCTGTGCTTTGCAAAAGAAGCTAAGGGCAACAGTCCAACTGGCCTGAAAGGTGAATGTAACCACATGCTGGCTAAGGAAAACTTGTCTGGTTATCAGTCCTCCTGATCCTCCAGTGTCTGCAGGTACCTTTGTAGCTTTGAACAGCGGCAGCCCATAACAAGCACTGCTTTGCAGTGGCCCCCCAGTTTCTGAAAAACTTGATGGACGCCAGGGGAAGTAGTGATAGGTTGCCAAATTGGGGACCCCCTGGATTTATCTAAAGAGCAAGGAATAGTTCTGGAACTGTGGTTGTGGTCAAGGAGAAGTTAAGTGAGTAAAAGGATCTTGGTAAATTTGGAGCATTTGTAAATAACTTGGCATTTCAATGGAATAATAACGAAGGGGTTACTGTGAGATTAGGATTTAGTGTACATCTCTGTGGCTTTAGTACCTGCAGCCTAATAATGCAGTAGGATAGTGCACAGTATTATTTTAGATATTATCTGAACATAAATAGAAAGCTGACAAGATATCTTTTAACAAGTAATCTCATATATCTTTTTTGAAATCTGTTTTTTTTAAACTAAAAAATCTATGCATTTTTAAACACCAAAAAAGTAGAGCAAACTAAGCCAGCCAATATTAGTCATATCATTTTCCTTTCACCTTCCATTTCCCCCCTTGTTTTCTGACAAATGGTTGGGACATCCTGCATTCTGTCTCAGTGTGTAGGACAGCTGTGTGTAAACAGCTGTTTCCTCTTAATGTTGGTATAGTGAGGCAAAGTACAAGGTGTAATCAGCTGTGTCAAACATCCCAGGAGATTCTCAAGGTAAATGCCTCATTCTTTGTGATGGATTTTTTCTGATACATTTGGCCCCTTGCATGACACGTGGACCACGGAAAGCAAACTAAAGTTGCATGATTTTAAGGGCTTGACATGGTTACATGGGCTTGACATCTGTCAGCTCCAGAAGATGCTATATGTATTTGCAGGAACAATTCACGTAATCAGGAGCTCTGACAGCCAGAGACGCAAGCTGCTTTTTAAATCTATTTTTTAGCTTCACTTTCGAGCAGTAGGAGCTGCTGCAAGGATAATGTATGCACAGACCCACTTCTGGTCAAATAGCTTCTTTTGGTTATGGCTAAATAATTCTTTGTAACCTGAAAGTATTTATTAGTGGGTGAAATATTGTGTTGGTGTACTATTTTGTATCTTCTAAACAGCGCTTTCTTGAAGAGAAAATGCTTGCCTTTGGTTTATAACCTTGAGCCAACAAAACAGTAGACTCTTTCATAGGCATCTCTGAGATGTTGAGAGTCAGTTGGGAATGTGTAGTCTACATTTGATTTTATTCCTACCTTAAATTTTGGGTTATGTTGTCCCATTTCTATATGTATAGTCTTAGTTTCATTGTAGTTCTTGGTATCCATTTCTGAGCATCTGTAACCTAGGCACTCTACTGTTAAGAAGGTAATGATAACACCTTTTTGTTGTTCTGGAATGGATTAAAAACAAAGGTTTTATTTCTAGTTGTTTCTGTTCTTGATATTTCTAAGTATTTTGTTTTATTTTATACACAAACACACTCTTACAAGATCAGTGCAATGACAAAACTGTTCTGGTGCTTTTTGAAGGATTATTTTTAGATTTGTAGTGTGAAGGCCACTCTAAAGCCTGGGATCCATTAGAAGCTTAGCAGCATATTCTGAGCCTGAACATATTGAGATCAGCGTCCTGTTTGAATGAACTGTATTATCTTTCATGACTTGTTGTAAAGCACTTTAAGAGCAAGAGAGCTTTTGTACCACTCTAATATTCCTGAGGAAGATCCAATTTTGAAACGTTGTTATATAATCCGGAGACAACGTTGATGATGTATCTTTGATTATGTATGTTTGTTCTAGGATTTTCTTATGATTTGTAGGAATTTAGACTGTAATACACAGGAAGTATTTTTTGCAAGTCTTGTTGACTGCTTGATTTGTGGGTCAGACTCTCATGACTGTTTTCTTTATACTTGTTCTCTGGTTAGGTCGTGTTTGTTCAAACTCCCAACGTTATACAGCCATGATGAGGCTGGGCCATTGTAGTGCTTTACTTATACTATACAGTGATTTGACAGGCTGGCTTGCTTTGAAAGAGTCAAATCCCAGTCCATGATCTCATTAGACACATAAGAATTAGCAGCCAATATGTTATGAAATGTTGGTGAACTGATCCTTATTTTACTACTTTAATACATTTGCATGCTGCTCTCTCTCTTTAAAAAAAAAAAGAGAGAGAGAGATTCCAGGACTTGTGTGTATTGGGTTATTGTGTTTTTATCTTTCTGCTACCTCTTCCAGGAATCAGTATGCACGGATAGATCATGACTTGTCTAAAGCTAAGCATGAGCTTCATGAAAGACTGGAGGTTTGAATTTAGTCTCCCCCAATTCAGGCACTATGGAGGTTTGAATTTAGTCTCCCCCAATTCAGGCACTACAGTCTAGTCTCTATACTACAATAGCTCAATTCCTCCTCTTTGTTTGACCAAAGCCCCATTATCTGTACCTGTAATCAGCATGGCTGCTTCCATGTGTAAAAGCTTCAAGAAAACCATACGAAAACTTCTACATATGGGGTTCACACTTGTGGGGTGTTTACATAAGATACAAATGATGCCCAAACCCTTGGAAAGTGCACTGCTGCATACTATGTAAAAACATCATCAGGATGAACAATCTAGCAGGAAATTCTTACTGATACCTGATTCTGACTGGAAGGAACCAAAGAGGTGGTATGGTATTTGATATGTTTGAAACTGCAGTTGTATGTATGTTAGGAGTAGGTTGAAATGTACAAAGCTGGACTTGCTTCCAAACAAGCATGGATAGGATTGAGCTGGCATGTCAGGGATTTGTTGCTTTTATTTAAATTATCCACTTGCATGTTTTAAATTTATACTTGGAAACTCAAGTAGAGATTTCAGTAGAGATATGTAAATTGTGGAGTAAGAAGATGAGGATGTACCACCGTTATGGATAACAGTGGAAACAAATCTCTTGATTATGTACATGTGCTCAAGAATGCTGGATGTCTTTTGCCTTGTTTTAAAGAACGTTGGCTGCTCTTTGAGCATTATAGTTCACTTTAATGTTTAACTAAAACGTTTGGCTGCTCTTAATAATAGCCATAAAGGAAGACATGCTGTGTGTCTATTGACAAACAAGAGCCAATAAATCCAGTTTCATTCCAGAAGCTGCAAAACATTTAAATAACTTTTTGACATTTTACTGTAGTCCTTATTTACCTTATCAATAGTTGTGGTGACATCTGATTGTCAACTTTTTATATTAAACCAAACTAATAAATTATGCATGTTGTGTTTGTACCTGATGAAAGCTGACGTTTTGGAGAGGTGTTAAAATATACTGACAGGTCTTGTTCATAAGCTCCTTTGGTATAAATATGTAGATGACATCTTTAGATATTGTTTGTACATAGTCTGCTAGGCAGAAAGTGTTGACAATATAACAAATGCAAATGTCAGCCCCACAGTTTAACCTTTCCATGTTGAAAAATATGTTAGTTTTAAGTTACATGCTTTTTAAACTTTTCAAAGTTTTAAAAATCTGTTATCACTGCTTTTAGATGCAGAAAGTAATGCTGAAACAATGGAGATGTGCACTTTTTTCTGGTGCGCTTACTAAATGACTACAGTTAGCTGTGCATATTTCCTCCTCCTGCTTCTAATTCTTTTTATTTCTCATGTTTCTTTGGTATCTGAGAAATCTTTTTGTAGCGTCAGCTGTTGTGTTTGACTCAGTAGTTCATGCGAAGGTTGCATAAAGCAAGGCTCTAAAAGTGCTTGCATTTTGTCTATTTACAACATGAGTAAATACTAGGCTTGACTGTACTAATGTTAGTAGTGCCGTACACATACTGATGGTGGACCTGCTGATAGGACAAACTTACTAATACGATAAGCACCCAGCCCTATGTCCCAGCTCCCGCCCACCCAGCGGCTCGAAAGCCTGTTAAAGGGCAAATAGACAAATGGGTACCTGCTCTTAGAGTGGGGAGGCACCCGTCCCTTGCGGTGTAGCGGCGGCGTGAACGGTGAGTGGCGGCGGAGAAACATGGCGGTGGCTGGCGAGGCAAAGCAAGTGAGAGGAGGCTGGGCCGGCAGAAAGCATGGAGGCAGGGCGACGCAGCAGGCCGGAGCCTACTGGGTCAGGAGTCTGGAGGTATGCTTTTCCCCTTATAGCTCTGCAATGAAAGCGGCTAGAGATTTACTTAAGAAAAGAAAAATAAAGGAAGTTGTGATGCAGATACCTTCATACCCCAGTTGTTATAATGTTATTCAATTGTCAATTTTAAATAACCATCCTCCAGTGGCAAGGAAGAAAATGGATGCTGCGTGGGCAGGGGGAACCGGGAAATATGAACTTTGCCGCACATGTGGTTATCATTCAGACCTCACTATGATCTTTCCCCAAATTTTGCAGCAAAGCAGGGGGTTGTAAAAGTAACACCTACAGAAAAACTAGGTGCTGTTGTTGTTTTGCAAGTTCTTTGATGCTGTTTGAGACCCAGTTAACTCTGCAGACATTTATATCAGTTTTATAGGTTATTCTAGGTAGTAACAGACCCTCACCATAAGTTTCCATCCTAAGATAGGCATGCTCAGGAGATGATTTCCAGCCCTTTTTGAAGCTCGGGCTAGCCCAATATTGTCAGGTCTTGGAAGCTAAGTAGAGTCAGCCCTAGCTTGTATTCGGATGGGAGACCTCCAATGAATACCAGGGTTGTGATGTGGAGGCAGGTAATTCCAAGCTACCTCTGAACATCTGTTGCCATGAAAATCCCACAGGGTCACCATAAGTCAGCTGTGACTTGATGGCAAAAAAAAAGAGGAGAAGAATTCCATGAACTTTTGAAGCAGATTATTCCACTGAGGAACTGTACTTTGAGAGGTGCCCAAGTGGGGGCATGAATGCAAGGAACAATGGCCAATGTGAAGGGTTCTTTATTTGTTTATTTTTATTACTTGAAATATTTCTATTGATGGATGTTGCCAATGTGATTAAAAACAATCAATTAAAACAATTAAAATAATTATATCAATTAAAAAAAAACCCTACTGCCATTGTACAAAGAGGACAACATGAGCAAATGGAGAAAGTCTTTAAATGATGTTTAAAACATAATAATGTAGGCACCTAATGAATGAAGCTGGGGAGAGGGTTACAAAATCAGTGTGCTGACATATTAAAAGGCTGTTTTTCTGGCATCTCACCTTTTCCCCAGGCATATTGAATGAGTCATCATTAGATATTGTTGGTTTATGACCTGGATCCTGTGAAGATAGGCATCCTGATCCCAAACCATTTAAGGCTTGATGAGTCAAAACCAGCAGCTTCAGAAACACATTGTTACATAAGAGATGTGACAACAATAGTGCATGGATCACAGATCTGTTGCTGGATCACAGATCTGAAGCATTTTACTGGAAAAGTTTCACTTACTCATATGGAGGCGAGCCCCCAAAATAACAAATATCTTAATTCTTAGAACTTTGGTACTGTATATATTGATGGTAAAAAAATCTGCACATTAACACATTAGACTTCATCCAGCAATATAACTTCAAGTTGTTGAACTTGGCAGTTCCTGCACTACTGACTTCCATATAGAAGCCAGAACTATGAAGGCAACAGAGATTTGTTGTTGTTCAGTCGCACAGTCGAGTCCAACTCTTCGTGACCCCATGGATCATCTCCCGCCAGGCCCTCCTGTCTTCTGCCGTCCTCTGAAGTTGGCTCAATTTCATGTTCGTTGCATCGATGACACTGTCTAACCATCTCATCCTTTGCCGTCCCCGTCTTCTTTGACCTTCAATCTTTCCCAGCATCAGGGTCTTCTCCAGTGAGTGCTCCCTTCTCATTGGGTGGCCAAAGTATTTGAGCTTCAGTTTCATTATCTGGCCTTCCAGGGAACAGTCAGGGTTGATTTCTTTGAGGATTGACTGATTTGATCTTCTTGCAGTCCAAGGGACTCTCAAGAGTCTCCTCCAGCACCATAGTTCAAAAGAATCTATTCTTCGGCGCTCAGCCTTCCTTATAGTCCAACGCTCGCAGCCATACATGACTACTGGGAATACCATTGCTTTGACCATGCGGACTTTTGTTGGCAGGGTGATGTCTCTACTTTTTATCATGCTGTTTAGGTTCGCCATCGCTTTCCTCCCAAGGAGCAGGCGTCTTTTAATTTCATGGCTGCAGTCACAGTCTGCGGTGATCTGGGATCCCAGGAACGTGAAGTCTGTCACTACTTCCACAGCTTCCCCTTCTATTTGCCAAGGAGTGATGGGGCCGGATGCCATGATCTTAGTTTTTTTGATGTTGAGCTTCAAGCCCACTTTTGCGCTCTCCTCTTTTACCCTGAGCAAGAGGCTCTTTAGGTCCTCTTCACTTTCTGCCATTAGAGTGGTATCGTCTGCATATCTGAGGTTGTTGATCTTTTCCCCAGCAATCTTAATTCCCGCTTGTGATTCATCCAGGCCAGCATTTCGCATGATGTACTCTGCATATATATTAAATAAGCAAGGTGACAGTATACATCCTTGTCGTACTCCTTTTCCTATGCTGAACCAATCAGTTGTTCCGTATCCGGTTCTAACTGTCGCTTCTTGGCCCTTATACAGGTTTCTCAAGAGACATGTGAGGTGGTCTGGTACTCCCATCTCTTTAAGGACCTGCCATAGTTTGTTGTGATCCACACAGTCAAAGGCTTTAGCATAGTCAATGAAGCAGAAGTAGATATTTTTCTGGTACTCTCTTGCTTTCTCCATAATCCAGCGAATGTTGGCAATTTGATCTCTAGTTCCTCTACCTCTTCGAAACCCAGCTTGTACTTCTGGTAGTTCTCTATCCACGTACTGTTGAAGCCTAGCTTGTAGGATCTTGAGCATGACCTTGCTAGCGTGTGATATGAGTGCAATTGTGCGATAGTTTGAACATTCCTTGGCATTGCCCTTCTTTGGGATTGGAATGTATACTGATCTTTTGATAGTCCTGCTCATATTAGGAGACTGGCTGATTGTTTCAATTTTTTCAGTGACTTTCAAGACACTCTAATTTTGGCTTAATCTTCTTTGTGAGATAATGTACACATTAAAAAAATTATTTACTAATTGCTTTGCATGTTATGTTCATTTGCAGTTACTAGAAGGTGCTATCTTGAGTAAAAAGAATAGTAGTCCTACTAATACCTATTTTGCTGAGGACAACAACTTCTGGTCATTCCACATGGATACAGCACAAAACAAAAGTAAGCCTTTTCATATCGGAAAAGCAGGACAAATAGATCTTTGTAAATGTGCTTTCTTGTTCAGTTATCCCATTTGGCTATTCTCTTTAGTAATGTTATTCAGTTAAGTTGCTATGTGGTCACCCTCTGTACCCCAAACCAATCTCATACACTTGCTGCATCCAGTGTCCTGTAGTCTCGTGTTCTTTATGATAAAGAGCATACAATATAGTATACAAGAAAACATGGTAGCTGGGCTCTTGTTAGTCTGGTTTGATCCAGACTAAATTGGCAATTTCCACCGACTCTCCTTCCAATGCAAACCACCCCCCATGTCATTCCATAGGTTCCCTTATCCCCCAGGAGCAGCATTTTGGGTAGCTCAGTGGGCTGCAGTAGGAAGGAGGGGCAAGTAATTCCCATTCTGCCACTGAAAAATTTAATCTAGATCTAGTCCATTGAGAGAAAATGTAACAAAATATGTAGGCGAAAGCCCTAGGAAGGAAAAGGTAGATCTTTGGTGAATTGGTCAAATAAACCAATAGTGCAACCCTAACCTGGGTTACACCTTTCAAAGTCGACTGACTTCAGTGGAGTTAGGCAGTGTTACCTCTGCTTGGGGTGACACTGTCAGTAGCCTGAAGTGGCTTATGGTCTACTAGAGTTAAGATAAACTGTATGAATTCTGTAATCTTCAGCTTTTGCAGTACTTCCTAATTCAAATTAAATGTTCCCTTTCCTCTTGATCAGTGAGGTTTTCTCTTCTGATTTTGTTGCATATCAGTGTTTAATTATTCCATTGTTACTTTTTTAAAGTTGGTTGCTCAGCTTTTTATTGCATATTTATTTCTCTGCAGAATGTTTGTTTAGTTAAATGATAAGAGCTTTGAATTTCTGGCAGTCTACTTACTCATTGGGGAAATTTAAATGAAATTGTAAAAATATAATTAAGAACGCAAACAATAAATTGTTTGACTTGCTGTAGGCATATTTAGGTTGCAATGACGAGGAAAGGTTCTGGTTAATTAGAAGCAATTTGTTAGAAACCTGAGTCCTCTTTTTTATTTCGTAGATTAAAACTCTGTTCCCAGCTGGATACTTATAGGTGCAGGAAATGTAATTGTGAGATGATTAATTGCAAAAAGATAGATAATTAGAGTTCATATAGTATGTCAAATATAGCTAAACCAAAAGCTTGCTTGCCTCTTGAAAGAGAGAAGCTGAGATGGCACAATATGAATACAGGAATTCTATGAAATGTGTGTGCACAGGTTGACTGTAATGTCACATGAGGGTGAATTATAAACTCTCCAGCTAGCTCACCCATTATAATTTGATATTGCTATAATGATTTAAGGGAGGAATGAGAGTCTGTACTGTGACCGTAGTCCCTCTTTCTGTCCCCTTTTTATAGCTATTGGGATCAGTTTGTTGGTAACTGCTCCTCCACGTTGTACAGCTCAGCAGAGAATAGTTTGACTAATCAAGTGTTCAGGGCTCTTTGTGAAACATAAATATGCACAAGGTTAGTACTATATATAAGTGATATATCATGTGCTCTTCTTAGCTGCTATGCAATGTCAACTTTTCATCCCCAGTGGTCTACTCAGAAAAAAGTCCCATTTTATTTACTCTTCAGAAAGTGTTAGGATTGCAGTCATAACTTCCCTCTCCCAAAATCTGTTGTATGTCCACTCTGTCATCTCCAAATTTAAGTATACATTTCCCCTCTTATCTGATGCATTTCCCTCAAATAAGGATGTGGGATTTGTTTTGTGTCATTTAGGACACTTTTGTAGCTGCCCAAGTAGTAAGCCAGTTTATGCAGAGATCTGAAAAGTGATACCCATTGCAGCTTGAACTATATTTGCAGTGTTAGGCATTAGACTTCCTTCTGAAATATTTAATTGCACAGATCGCAAGGGTTAAATGATTTCTTGCTTCATATAAATTGGTAGCTTATGTTTAAATTGCTTGTTAGCTGCTCTGAAGTCTTCAAAAACACTTTGCTGGCCTTGTGGATGCTGCATTTTGAGATGATGCACTGTGTTTTGGGATGCTGTGAAGTCTTCACTTGCCCTTGCCAACCTGAAAAACTTCCTGTCTTCATAAAGAGTAGCTAACCCTTGGAAACACTGCTTTACAAATTCAACTAATGACCCAAATACAGCTTGTTTTGTTGTGTACGAGTTGTATTAAAATAACACACTATATTTGTATTGTCATTAATGATATGCTCATTTTGATAATGGAGCTGCAGTCTCTTAGCATGGAGTCCTTGGGGAGATGCAGCATTTTTTTTAACTAAGTATTGTTCTGGCTCCTTTCCTTGATTGGCCCAGAAATAGCAATCAGCTGGGGAGCAGGATGACATGCCTCTTAGCAATCCCTTTTATCTTTGAGATGAGTATCAACATTGTATGCTTCCTAATGGAAGTGTAATTTAATGAAATCTATTGGGTAAACATACTTCAGATGTTCAAAGGAGGTGACAAAATTTTTGCTGGCAGCCAGGACCTGGCTGGTTTCCAGCTTGCCTTTAGCTACTATGCATATAGCATAGAGAGAGGCATTTAAAATAGAAATACAAAGTATTATTTCCATTGTTGTCCTCTCCCTTCACATTTATTACCCTTTATTTTATTTTTGTGATGCTTTCTGTGCCAGTGTCTTTTGACATATAACCTTTTCAAGAAAATTGATTTATTTGGTAAGGATTTCTTTTCTTTTTCCTTTTTTGGGTGGTAGTGATGCTGGTGGTGTTCTTATTGTGATCAAAACCAAAAACGCACACAACACTCTGGTTGATAATCTGGAACATAGCACTGAACTCTGGGGAGGTTGCTGGCACAAAGTATGCTGTACACATCACAGAAGAAAAGGGGGAAAGGAACTACATTGCCTTTAGTCAATAGTCCCGTGAAAGAGAACTTTCTCTATAGACTAGTGAAATGAAACATCCAGATGTAAAGATTACGAGGAGAGAGTGCTTTTGTTTTAACAATAATTGCTGGTACAGAGTACGTACCATCATATTTATAGCAGACGGCTTAATTGTGAAGGAAAGTGCTTTAACTGCTGTTTTCTCAATATGCATCCGCCTCAATCCAAATGCCTTCAGAGGTCATCCATAAGGGCAACCAGTGCTGTCTCCGTCCCATGACCTGGGTGAAAGCCGGACTGGAAGGGGTCTAAGATGGAAGCGTCATCCAAAAAGCTCTGTAGCTGACTCGCTACCGCCCTCTCTATTAATTTGCCTAAACAGGCCAAATTGGAAACCAGCCGATAGTTGGCCAATTCAGCCGGATCCAGAGATGGTTTTTTCAACAGAGGGTGGACCACTGCTTCCTTAAGCACCCCAGGGAACTATCCCTCAGTGAGGGACTTGTTGATAATCTCCCTCAGGATGCCTCAAAACCTGTCCCGGCCAGCTTTAATTAGCCATGAGGGGCATGGCTCAAGGGAGCATGTGATAGGGCGAACAGCTAGGAGCAGTTTGTCAACTTCCTCTAGGCTGAGTGTGTTGAAATGATCCAGAACTGGAATAGAAGATGTGCATGGAGCCTTGAGCTCGCTCACTGTATCAACTATAGCGGGGAGGTTGCGGTGGAGCGACAAGACCTTATCTGCGAAATAGCTTGCAAATGTCTCACAGCCTATGTCCAGTTCCCTAGCATTTGGCCTGCCCTGTGGCAGAGTAGTTATAGATTGAATTGTTCTAAATAATTGGGCTGGGTGTGAGCTCGCGGACGCAATCGTGACTGCGTAGTACTCTCTCTTTGTGGCTTTGACTCCCATCTCGTAGGATCCCATAAATGTCCTGTAAGATGCTCTTGCAGCTTCGTCATGAGCACGGCGCCATCATCTCTCTAGCCATCTCAGCCCTCGCTTCATAAGCTGCAACTCCTGGGTAAACCAGGGAGCAAGCCTAGAGTGAGGGCGCCTGGGAGCGCTCTCGTTGATGGCTGCAGAGAGCCAGCCATGTCTGTCCCCTACAAGCTCATCTAATGAACTGCCAGGGGGCATCGGATCCCTGAGAGCCATCTGGAGCCTAACTGTGTCTATCTGGTAAAATACACTCACCGCCTAAACAGGGTTGTGGTGGGACATTCAGGTGGGCCCTCAGGGCATGGTGGTCCGACCATGGAACTACCGAACTGGTAACCCGGTCCACTGTTATCTTCGCCGCAAAAATCAAATCGAGTGTGTGTCCAGCCTGATGAGTGGGGGTCATTATATATTGGGAGAGTCCTAGTGCCGCCATGGATGATACCAGATCCACTGCCTGAGTAGAGGTTGCCTCATCAGCATGGACAGCATGGACATTGAAATCACCCAAGACTATCAGTCTGCTATGGACTCCATCAGGGACGGCAAGCTATTGGCCGGTGTGTTAGGCGGTACACCAGCGTATTCCCAACTAAAGTTCCTTTTCTCCTTGATATAGGGTAGCCAACCCCAGGTGGCAACTAGAGATCACCCACTATTACATTTGATCTCCAGATTGACCAAGATTAGTCCCCCTGGAGAAAATGGCTGTTTTGGAAGGTGGACTCTATGGCATTATTCCCCACTGAAGTCCTTTCCCTCCTCAAACCCCACCCTCCCCAGGCTCCGCACCCAAAAACTCCAAACCCAAAGCTGGCAACCCTAACTTGATACTGCAACAAAGATGTGATATCTCTTATTGATAATATTGGATAAATTCATATATTATTATGGTATCAAATGCCGGATTGTCTGCATTGAAGAAATAAAAAGCAAAATGAATGGATTTACTTCATCATCATTAAAAATGATGATCCTTTTGATAACTGACATAGTACATCTATATTTGGTGTTGGAATGTGGAGGGGGCATCTCCTTCTCCATGCCAGCTCATCCTGTCTGGCTTTTCACTGCTTATCTCTGCTCTGACCTTGTTATTTCTTCCAGCTGCAGCATTGCCCAGCCTAGGAATCTTAACAGTTTGGGCGCGCAGCTGCTTGCTTGCCCGTGTGCGCGAAATGTAATCATTGGCT